TTTGGCTTATAGTTATACACCGGTATGGCTTATACGCTGACTTTAAATCATAATTTGCGGATTTTTTGGTGCTGCAGCTTATACACCAGGTGGCTTATATTTCGAACATTACAGTATTTATGTTCTTGGCCTGAAATCCATGATGAGTACATTCCACAGCTTTGCAACAAATTTGTCATGTAAAGCTTATACATGGTACAAGGTTACATAACATTCTGTGCAATTTGATATGAGTGTTGCATCATGCACATGTTCACTCAGGATTGTGTAGATCAGGTACAGTGTACATCTTTTGGGCCTCATACAGTGCTTTTCTAATAGTATCATAAAGTGTATTAACCCCTTCACGTCGGGATATTTTTACGGCAACCCACCTGGCTGCCGGGTTTATTTTCCGAATTTTGCTAACGGCAACCGCAGACGGCTACATTGGCCACCACACACTGTACACAGCCTGGCTTTGTGTAGTCATGAAGCCTGCTGGGGTATTTGGATCCCATTCAACAAAATACCAGGTAACCAGCACTTGCCTTGCCCACGGGACAACACCAACTACCCAAGGACGCTCGGTCACAGAGGAGAGTACAGCTCCCGCTAAGTTCACACAGTCTATGCTTGCTTTTAGTAGGCACCGTGGCTCGTGTACCTGCTTCCCAGTAGTCCATGCATGCCCAGCATCAATGCCCAGCCCTAACTTGAACATTGAGTGCGCTTCACAAGTTTTTATTTCAGCTAATACCCAGTGAAGATTTCCGTAAAATTCCCCTAATGTTTTTATTTTGTGCAAAGTTTCCTCGTAATTTTCTTGAACATTTCTAAGTTGGTTTTTTTTTTTTGCAAGTTCTATTCAAATCCCCTTTCCTTATGTAATGATATATATAAATAGCCCCTTCTAAGTTTGAACCTTCCTATGAAAACTATCTTTCCAAACTAATCCTCCCCATAATTATAAAATAAACAGACACAAGAAAAACACAAGACAAATTTCTCACTTTTCGTCTTCTCTTGATGACTTGTTATTTCTTTTGATTCTCCATTTTCATATTTACAATCGTTTAATCTTTCTTCAATTTTATTTTTAACAAAAGGAACCTTCCCGTAAAAAACTTAGCCAAAAAAAGAAAAAAGAGAGTAGTTGCATTACACGATGGCTTCAAATAAGTGGAAAGTGTTGTAAAAAACTTAGCCAAAAAAGGAAAGAAAATGGAGAGTAGTTGCATTACACGATGTCTTGACACAGGAGAAAATTAAGTAATTGATTCAAGTATAATAAACCTTGAAGGATTTGCCTCAAAGTTCATGTACTATTTCTTGGAATACAGGAAACTTTACATAAGTAAGCAATGGATTCAAGTGTGATAAACCTTGAAACAAGGAGCAGCGAAATGTGGAACTTGGCTAATTTTACGCATCAATTTAGTCACTTTTCTATTTCTAGAACAAACATCATAAAATTTCATGTACTATTTCATTTATGATGTCTTGGAATACAGGAAACTTTGCACAAATAAGCAATTATTCAAGTGTGATATTCCTTGAAACAAGGAACAGCGCAAAGTGTCACTTCACAAATTTCACACATCACTTTGGTCTCTTTTTTTTGCCACTTCTAGAACAAACATCACACCTTTTGTATAATGTAGCTCGTTTTCCAGTTGGGGGAATTTCTACAGCAAAATGTCTTCCTATCAGTCTACCTGGACCAGGAAGACAGGTTGGTCTACCTCTAGATAGATACACTGGCAAATTTGGTGAACGCAACTCTAAAATTTCACTCACCAACATTTGTCTAAATGTCAAAAAACTGTCAGTGCCACCAATTTCCATAAACACAAGATAAGAGTTTACAAGAGCAACATCAAGCAAAAAAAGAACAGTTTCTTTTACCATTTGATTGATTTTCTGACTGAATGGTGTGACGATGCCAGCTAGTCTGCAATGTCCACACCCTTCATCCCCTCATAGTCGAGTACATACTTGGCTTTCTCCAAAGCGATGCCGTCGCGGTTCCGCTTGCCGGTGTCGGCCATCTCGGCTGTGTGCATCGTGGACAGCATACAGACATCTTTTTTGTCTCGCCAGACCAAGGCAAGCAAGCCTTTGTCGAGGAGCAATGAACAACATCCCCTCTCTCAAGTTTCAAGGAGCACAAGTCCTTGGGCATGTCTTGACGATTGATTCTCACCGTCCCGACAACGTTCGTCTTCTGGTCATGTAGTTTCAGGTACAGTTCTAGGCTGCTGAACCAGTTGTCCATGAAAATGGTGTACCCTTTGCCAAGAAGATCGGCATTCAAGACAAATACGATTTTCGTACTTGACAGTCCAGCAGTCTGGTCTTGACCGGTGTAAATCTTGAAGTTCCAGGTGTATCCAGCGGCAACACCCGTGCTTTGGCAGACTCGATGCACTTTTATGCCAATCCTCACACGCTTCTTGGGGTTGTACTGCTTGAACTTCAGTCTCCCTTTGAATTTCCAAAGGGACTCAATGGTAGTAATCTTGCTGGACGGAATGTAGACAGACTTGAACTTCTCGGTCAGTTCGTCTATCACCGGCTGTTATCGACAAAATGCAGATAGGCCAGCAAGTCCATAAATCTGTCGCAGGGCATAGTTTCAGGAAAAAGCGGAGTCTGAAGTATTGAGTCTCTCGTCCGGTAGGACTTCAAGTCGGGTTTCGGAATCAGTCCTTTGACTATCATCATGGACAGGAACACTGACATCTCATTTGGTGTTGTGTCGAACCAGCTTCGCATGTGACTTGGACTTGCGTCTGGTTGACTTTTCGGGTGTTCAGCGGCATAGCGGTTGGTCTCGTTGGCAATGTGCAACGTCAGCTCTGGGGTGAAAAACTGCTTGAAGATTTCGAGAGGAGTGCTGTTCTTGTCCAGTTCTTGTACTTGAACACCCGCTGTGCCTTGAAAACCGTCTCGATGGGGAAGTTGTCATCCGCCATCCGTTGAATGGACAAAGAAGTCTTGACCTTCTTGGCAGGCCTCGCTAACGGTGGTTGCCTGTCAGAATCGCTGTCACTAGTTACATTTTCTGAACTATGTTCAGATTCCGACATGAAATCTGAACCACTAGTCACAGACAAAGTTTCCTCGTGTAATGCAACTGAAGGGCCAGGAAGCAGCCAGGCAAATATATACCCAGCGCCACAGAAAACACTTCTTTTCAACAAAACAAATAACCAATTACATTGAACAATGGCCCATCTATACCCCGAGTGCGTGGTGCTGTTGTGCTGTCCACGTATTCCCAGCCCAGCAGGGCCGTAAACAATGGCGCGCACACCATGCCAGTGGCCTGCATTCATCACGTTCTGGGCCCACACAAAACGCATTGCATAAGCCCTGTCCACGGCCTCGAGCTCCGCTCCTCGGAGATTACCCAGGGTATTCAATCAGAGACAAAGGGGTGTTTTGATGAAAAAAAACATTTACCAAGTATCAGGGGATCAACAAACTCTCCAGGTTGCCCCAGATTTCCATTCAATGTAAAGGTCCCAGTAATTACAGGTGTACACTGAATAAAAGTTACGGGTGTGGTATGTGGCTGCAGCCGCTTCCCGGTTACTAGACTTTGCTCCAGGCACGGCTCTTGCCGCTTCCCGACGCAAAGGGGTTAATGTCATTTAATAGTACTGTATTGTCTCTTTTAGGGTAGGGAGCGGTTATCAAAGAATGACAGAGAGTCAGTGGATTGACTTGCACACATTACTGATTTATTCTGAAGAAATATTTACATTGTCTCCATATTTACAATGATCAACTTCTATTGCCACCGAGGCTGGATATTACTGTATAGGATGTTCATCATAGGAACAATAATCAGCGTACAGCTCGTAAAAATCTGAGAAATTTATTCGGGAGTGACAAATAGGTTATTCATGGCAAAGCTATGCACTCATGAACGGACAAGGAGTTTGAGGGATTTGCACCGGGGAGATGTAAATAAATTTTGGATTTTTTGCCCTGCCTGATGTGTATTATGAATACACGTTGCTAAGGGAAAACATCCAAAATAAATGGATGAGGATTTGTTTCTCTGAAGCTGCCTGCCAGCTGGGGAATGATCGATGCTGGCTTCCAGAGCTGGTCGCTTTATATAGACTTTCAGGGCCAGGTCTTAGCCAATGAGAACACTGAATTGGAGTGAATAATTCATACATCTAGAAAGTCTATGGAGGAAAAGTCTATGGGGATTTTGTGTACACTTGGTCTCACTGACTTAGTTTCTGGAGAGTGATAAAGTCCAAGAAGTTTTGGAACGGAATGGTGAAAGGCTGCTCGTGGGTGTGTTATGGGGGACTTAGTCAATGAGAGAGTGGACAGGGTGAGCTTTTCTTTGTACATTTAGTTGTGTACAACACTTACATGTAGTCTCTGGATGGCTATTACCCCGCAATTCTTGTGGGGTAAAACTGGGTGAGTGGAGGTAATTGACCTTGCTGTGCCGTGACCCGACACAGACTTACCGCATGTGGTTTGGCAAGACGCATATGCTATGAAGTGGGGGTGTGTGTGGGTCAAATGTATGGGTCTTATGTGTGACTGAAAGTAGTATCAACTCCTGGAAAGATTTTGGGGGAAATGACAAAGTTAGAAATGTGCTACAGAGTAGTAGTTCAGGGGCATGTCTTGGCAAAGCACAATCAGATTGCGTGTGGTATGCAATGCAATATGGATGGTCATTGTGTGCTTGCTGTGGGATGAGTGCATGGTGTGTATACTACAAATAACGTATACACTGTAATCTACATGCATATAGGGGAACATTTTGTAGGAATGTAACAGTACTATTGGTTTCTAATAGGATTGTCTTTTTTTTGGAAGACCCTTGTGCATTCACAAAGCCGTAGTTTTTCGGGGATCTTTCCAGTGGACATAAAATTTTCTCTTTTTTTTGGTCATTTACAGAAGACACCTCTTGTGTATGATAATGATTTGAGTATCATTTGTTTTCATTTTCATTGCACCATGTTTCTTATGTACAGGAATGTGTCACAAGCCATACAAGCGAGGGATATGAAGTTTTCTTCAAAAGATCCAACCCAATTCTTTATTGCAACAGATTCAGTAAGAACACTTTCAGCTAAATGTTTTTATAACAACTATTCTTCAGTATAGATTGTTAATTATAATTAATCAATTAATTATGCATTAAAAAACGACAGTTGACTTGTCTGTGTCCAAAACCTTGCATTGGCAAAGATTTGTTCAGACATATATGATGAACAATATCATGAGGACTTGTAATGTGTTGGAATGATGCTTTACTCTGAAATGTGATGTCATAATGACATTTTCTCACTTGGCACTGAATTCCATTTACATATTATTCAAAGACAAAATGAAACTGAAAACCTTATAAAGCCAATATTCTGTGCCTGCTGATGGTCATTATGCTTGTGAGGCTCCAAAGTGTGATATGGGATATTGATGAAGCAATCTTAGGTGTTGAATCTACATACAAAATGTTTTGCTTTTTTGTATTCAAGGTTGTCTAAATGACAAGGTTAATGGAGACATTTAGAAATGCTATGTACTCACACCTAAATGAGCAGATGAACTTTTTCCAGATATATTATTAACTTGAAATGAGTTTCATGTATGGAATAAATAAACAAAAATGTTGGAAGTGTAAAATACTAGCTTTTTTTAAAATCCAATATTGAGTTTTCTGGTCAATGGAATATTAAAAAGTGGTTGACAGTAAAGGCCTTTGATGACCTAAGTGCTTTATTGGAGTATGTCTGAAATTTTTATATCTTTTCCATTGTTTCTACAGGGGTGCATCTTGCATGGAAGCAGGCATGGAGATAGAATCTCTCCAAGACACTACGGAAAACCAATTGGTAAAGTTGTATGTCTTTTCAGACATAAATTTGCATCTTTGGGCATTTCATTTGCCAAAAATGTTATCGAAAAGATGGCATTGAGAAGTAGTGTATATTCCCAGCGTAATGAAAGAAAAATTATCAGGATAAATTCCTTGCAATAGTTGTTGGCTACACAGCCAAAACGCCGCATTCATCCTACCCGATTGACCTACAATTTGCATATTTCCCTAGTGACATTACGCCATTCACTAAATCTTGATCAACTTCTCGTGCATCCTCATCTATCTGTCCCACAATGCACTGCAGCGTAGCTGCTGTGTTCACCGATGTCACCACACCGGGCATGCTGCCATCCTTTGGGCCTACTCTACCTGCATTTCCAGCTTACCTCAAGCCCAACACGGCACCATGTCAGCAGTGTTGTAGTGGAGACCCCTTAAGACCTTCACAAGAGCGCTCAAGACCAACAAAAGACCTCTCGTCTGAATTCCAGTCACAAGCTATTCAACTGAACTGCAGCAAAAGCATTCCTGTGTCATTGTTCACCCTTTTACTTGTGACTGGTCTTGTGCATGGTCTTGATTCTGGTCTTGTGTCCGGTCTTGTGATGGTCTCGACTACAACCCTGCATGTCAGCCTACGGATGGGCCGACCAACCCCCCTCAGACTAGTACACCACCAGGGCTTTCGCCTACCTTTTCTACTCCCCCCTCCTACACAGTGTGGTTACCTCAGGTGCAAGTGATATCCATCCCTTCCGCTTAAGGTCCGCTTTTTTCACAGCAAGTCTGCCATTGCTAAGGGACCAGGAAGTTCACAAACTGTACGCCTGTGTGCCCTCGAGCATGCAACAAGTTAATGAGCGGACTGAACGTTGTTGGAAAACACGATCGACTCGCAGATACATTTACATATTGCATTGTTTCTGAGGAGCAAGCGATGTTGGAATAAAATGATTAACTCAGAGAAACATTCACATATTACGTTCTTTCTGCAGATTTTAATACAGTTGACTGTCGTTATTACAAAATCGGCACATTTCTATGGGGGAAAAAATCTGTTACAGTGAAATTCCATTGTACAAAATTCCTGTTACAACAAATGGTTTTTTGTGACTCCGTTGCCTGAAAAATCAATGTTGATGACCCATTTATATTGAGCGTTTCCAAATTGTGGTGGTGAAAACATGTGCGCAGTACATCACACTGGTTCCTGCATGTACATGAACGTTGTATACGAATGTAGCTCTACATAGTAATGTAACAGTGAGAAGATACGATCGACACAGATAAAGTGCATTATCTCACTCAAGTTCTTTATTATGGTGTCGCCACAAGAAAAACCCCTGGAAAGATACAATAAGTAATTTCCATGTAAATACAATGCCTTGGAGAATTCCAATTAAACTATGTAAATTACGAAGAAAGTTATAACTGCAAAATATTCTAAATCATCAAATAACAGAAAATGAAGTCGTGCAGTTCACCAATCTAGAATTAAGTAGGGTACGTTACATTCCAGTCTAAAAATACAATTAAGGCATGCGTATGCTTTAACTTGCAGTCAAGAAAGGAATTAACTTCGAAAAGTGCAACAACTTCCACTGTCTAAGCCACAAACTTAAATCTGTCCACTCAGCATTATAACTATAACCTAAGGATCCATGAAGAACTGACTTAGGATATAACTTATCTCAACAAGTCAAAGCAACGGTGATACTGTACTAGCATATTATTAAACTCAAAGAAAAAGAACACATGATTTCATAATAATAAGAACACATGTCTGCACCACCATCTAGTATTAGCAGAACCTTAGGGGCTAGTATGCAAGTCTACTAAAGCAATTGCAGTGTAGTGGCATTATACCTCCATTGTACACACACCAATAAACAATGTGGTCCATGAAGTCTCTAGAGGGCAATGAACCTTGTGGCTCACATCCTGTCTCCCTGTACTAAGGCATGGGCAACTTCCAAGAAAATGTGTGCATCTCATTATAAATGCGGCAAACTAAGGGATTAAGGGCTGCACTGTGGCTCCATGCTCTGATACACTGCACTGTCTATGGACACTAATGCAGAACAAAGAAACTAAGAATTTATACACTAAACTTTCTGAATTGCTGAGAGTAAAGAACACACTTATCATAACAAAGATACACTTGTCTTAAGTCTATCTAAAATACACTTAACAAAGGTAATACATGCAATTGAGCTTCAACTAACTCTGGAAAACCACAATAACTTTCTGATAATACAAAAGTGTAAAAATCTAGAAACTACTACATCGAGAACAACTTTGGACTTACCCTAGCCCAGTCAATCTAGAGCTAACAAGAGGTGTAAAGGTTATTAATGAAACTTCAGTCTGCCAGCAACTAACATGAGGTAGATCTTGGACTACTGTGGTGTTGTCTGTCCCAGCGCTGTGGGGTGAATGACTCACTGAACAAAGAGCTGGCAATAAACTAATGTTGAACAAGCTTAGCTATCAAACGAGGGCGCTGCACAAGGGCTATATGTAAATGACCCGTCACAGTAATTTTTTACATTGATTACACAAACGTCAAAACAAAACTTCCCTTCCCAATTCCAATAAAAATATGCCCAAATACGTTCGCTTGACTACTCCCACATCTCAAGAGTCCAACTAAGCACTGAACCCTGCTGCAAAAAGACCCAGTGTACCCGCACATGTATTTCCTTTTTTTTAATCTTACATGCACATTAAACATTATTTTATTAATTTAATTATTCTGAACACATCACAGTATATTTGATGAACTATAACCGAGAGATCTTTTTGATATAACATCAATCACGCGTTCACGTGTATGCACATACATGCATAAACGTGCATATGAACAACAATGCACCAAAGCCATTGCCCTGTGCACCTACAATGAATTTCAGACAGAACAAACGTTTCTACACGGATTTCGTAATAATGAGTGTCTACTGTATGTTGAAATGCAGTTTTGACTTCAAGAAATATTATCAGCTGCAAATTTTGTGAAGCAGGTGTTCAGTTTAGAAAATTCGCAGTGCAAATTCGGCACCAACTTGAACATAATAATGTTGAACATAATTTGCCCTCTGGCAGATTTTATAGCAGCAAATGCTTTATGACATCATTATCGGTGTGAATCTGCATCAAAGGAACCTGGGATTACGATCCATTATTCTACCTTCACATCATGAATTTTGAGTTGTTCTTCATCACGTGAAGGCAATGTGCAGTAAAATAACGTCACATATACAAAACCTTCAGGGCAAATTTTTGCCCGTACTGTGCACATGAATGCTAATGACTTTCCAAACATGCATGATGCATGGCGACAGATGGGTGCATCCCGGATGGTCAGTCATGTTCACATTGCTTGGATTCTTCCATTTTCTTTAAGGGATGGATGAAACCTTATTTTTATATCAATAACATCGGGAAAGCTTATAGCGAATAAAATGTTTCTAAATCACTTTACACAGAAAGTAATTATAAACAAAATTTTTTTATCTCATAAATGTTTATACGTTAAAAATTAAATACGAAAAGAATAAATGATCCCTATTTTGGTGAATGAATTCAGCTGGGCACCAAACAGTTTACAATTCAGCCTTTCGATGGAGGAGGAATTACGGGGAACAATTTGGAAGTACATATCACAAAATTAAACACTGATTTGTAAAATAAAATTTCTGACAAATAAAGAAGACTCTATCACATCATTTACATTCCCAGCGTGTTGCTGCTCAGAACAGGCGATCGCAAGTGTATGTTGTGCACACGTGGCACGGCGCTGCATGCTCTGTGGGGTACGTACATGTACATGTAGGCTACATGTACAATTGACTATTTGCACGGGCCTACTATCATCACTGAACCTGTACCAATCATTTATGTCAGGAGTTCCAAACTCAGATTAGCATAATAGCCGACGATTATAATGAACATGCCGTTCCAATCACGGATTGGCTGGACTCTCCGGTACACACAGCTCTTGGAATCAACTGTTCCAATCGCGGACTTTCCAGTTGACATTGATATTTAAATGACCTGACCTAAATTTGGGTAGGGCATTCTGAACGCAGAATGAACGGAGCATTCATGTTTGTAGATTAACA